CTGCTCAGAATTTAAACTCTCATACCACTTCCTCCTCTGATCTTGGATTTTATTACTTACAATCCTCATATCACACAGGCTGGTGTACTTTTGTGGGGGCTTAGTTGACACCTCACTTACGTGGCTGCTTATTTTGAGGCAAGCTTTAAGGCCCCAGACACTATTTTTTTTCTGACAGCTGGGCACCATCTGGTTTTTTCACCACTTAATGATAGCACCCATATCTTCAGTGATCCCTTCATGAGGGTAAGTACTGTCTGCTCCTACTCTAGATTTGAGGGAGGCGCCGTAGGCATTGACCCAGCCACACCCGGTTATACCCGAACGCTGACTCAGAGGGAACCCTCTAAAGTCTCCATGTCTTTTCTCCTGTGCTCACCAGAGTAATAACTACCATTACCGAGCACTTACAATATACTAAGTGCTGTGATTTCGACAGAGAACTGTATTTGATCCTTGTAATACCACTAGGAAGAATGTACCCTAGCTTTTCTCATTTGGTGGTGCAAATGGCTAATGCACTCAACTCTATTTGGAAGCTTGGTTGTTTGAGTCCACCCAAAGGTGCCTTGGAAGAAAAATCTGATCTGCTTCTGAAAAATCAGCCATTGAAAATCCTATGCAGCACAGTTCTACACTGGCACACAAGGGGTGGGGCATGAGTCAGAGTCAACTTAGCAGCTGGTTTAAAGGTGTAATCAGAGGATTGGAAATTATGTGACTGACCTAAGATCATATAGACAGTAAGAGGAAAAACTTGGATTTGAACCTTTTTTGGGGCTCCTCGTCTCCTGATGGATTCTGTTTCCAGAGAGATAAATTTCAGGCTTGGAGAACTCACCCAAGAACTGGGTCCTACTTAATGTTCATACCAACCAGCTTGACAGATTTTCAGGTGCGATAAAGGTGAGGGGAAGAACCTGTAAGCTGGGTGGCTCAGGATCAAGATTTAAAGGATTTTAGGAAGAAGGAAAGATAGGCTGGCATTTACTAAATGAAATTGCTAGGCAGATCACACAGACCTGCGTGCATATTCAATATCAGCACTGCACAAAGGCAGGATGGGAACAAGGGTTAGGAGTATTCATGCTTATTAGATTAGTATGAGTCAATGTTACTTTGTAACATGCTGGTCAAGTAATACCTCCATAGGCTGTATCAACAGGAGTATTATGACCAGAACAAAGGAGGTGATAAAACCATTGATTGCTTCACTCATCAAACTGCAGGTAGGCTCTGAATCAAACAAACACCCCTGAGGAGGGCAGCAAGAAAGGGGCCAGTGTGGGGAGGGTGGGTTTAGCGTCTATGGAACCTATACCATGTAAGAGTGATAAAAGGCATTGGACTATCTAGTGTAAACGTGAGGCATAATAATCACAGACATCACATAGATCTCTGGGGCTATCATTCTGTTCCAGAAGACAGCTTTTGAACACATGCAGAGACGATGAAGCAGGCAGACATAGACTAGGTGTAAGGAAGAACATCCAAGTAGTTCATTCTTAACAAAGGAGTGAGCTCCGTGACACTTGTGGAGTGCAAACGGAGGTCGCGCAAACCCTGGTTGACATGTCCAGAGGCTGCCGGAAAGAAACCAAAGCAAGCAAATGAATCAGACTGTTGCTGGGGAGTCTGTTCTGACGCAGAGCATCCTCTCAGGCAGTGTGTAACTGCCCCACAGGGTTTCCAAGGCTGTAATCTAAACAGAAGCAGATCTGCTGCAGCACCTTTCATCCGAAGAGCGCTGTAGGTTTCAAATCACCTTCCTTTAGGTTAGCAATTGAACGCTTAACCACTGTGCCAGGAGGGCTCCCTTTCTCCTGGAAACCAGGGGGATTAAATTCTTCTGCCTACTGAGTCTCCTTCCAACTGGAAGATTTGCCATCCTATGAGACATAGGTGTGCTTTCCTGGCCAGGTATGCTGGTAACCAGCGAGGCTCAGTGCGATTTAATCACCTCCGTTTGAGGTCGGGTTTGCTTCAACTTGACTGGTTTTCAAAGGCTCGGCTATGGAAGGCTCTGATGTAAACTTAAAAGCAGCCGAGTTCCCACCTGCTTGGAGCTGACATTCTTATTCCCGCTTGTCAGTGTTTGTTCTGGCCACAAGCCACGTAAGAGCTGAAACAGCAAGGCTTCATTTTGGTACCCGGATATTACTGTGAGTGGCGGAAAGGCGTGATGCAGAGGGATGCCGGGAAGGCCGGGGTGGAGCCGAGGAGGTGACTGGGGTGGAATGAAATGTCGAGAGGAGCTTTGACACCCCTCCCAGAGCAAGGCCATGTCTTGCTGCTGTCTTCAGACTCAGACCCCTAGGGTGTGTGTGGGGGGGGTAGAGAAGTGGGAGGAGACAAGGGGAGCTCCCTGCACAAAGCAGGGCTAGGAGTGCTACACGGTTCTAAGGGGAGGAGTGGTGCCATTTTATTTGTGTTTCTGGAAAATCTCTGTGCAGGTTGGTGAATGAAAGAAGTGGGCCAGTCATGAGATGGAGGGGGCTTAAAAAGTGTGGGGGCCTTGGAAGTGGTGAGAAGCGGTGAGGTGTGGGAAGGTCTTTGGAGATTTTGAGGAAGCCTGGTAGCATAGTGGTCATGTGTTGGCCTACTAGCTGCAAGGTCCATGGGAGACAGACGGGGCTTTCTACCCCCTTCAAGAGTGGCAGTCTTGGAAACTCACAGGGCAGTTCTACCCTATTCTGTAGGGTAGCTATGACTTGGCATCAACTCCATGGTAGGTAGAGTTTGGTGGGTTTTTTTTGGGGGGGGGTTGGAGATCTTAAGGAGCCCTGGTGACACAAAGGGTTAAATGGTGGGCTGCTAACCAAAAGGTTAGTGGTTCAAACCCACGTGTCATTCTGGGGAGGAAAGGTGAGGCCATGTGTTTCTGTAAAGTTACAGTGGCATCATGCTGCTGGGGAGGCAGGGGTAGGGTGGGGCTAGAGATCATGGCAGCGGGCCACAAGAAGACCAGAAATGCGCTACATGGTTTTGTTTCCACCTCTTATTTAAAAAAATTTTTTTGACAGTGAAAGATTTTATTACTTTAACTTTCATCCAAATACACTCCTTTGGTGAAAAACATAAAAGCATGCATATTGTTGGCATTCTCACAAAGAAGCAACTATGTAATAACTAAGCTGAAAATAAACAATAATACAAATAAAAGCGTAAATGATATTACATGAAAAAGGTTTACAGGAAAGCACAGGGCTTCTAATGTTAGAAAAAAAATAAATGCAAGAAAATATCAATGCATGTCAAGGAAAGGCTTCTAATTTTCCACACATTCTGATAAGAAAATTTGTACCTAACATTTATAGACCTCTCGTGAAAAGAACAGAAGTACAATCCAAAGAACCATGAGGTGATTCGATGCCTGCTTAGTCAGTTATAACTCCCACAATTCCCGCGGCATTCCATTCTTAAAGCACGTTCAAGAGAAAAGAAAGCAAACAGAAAAGTTGGGAACATAGTACCAGGGATCTCTTCCCAATCTACTTAGGAAAAGCTGCTCCCCTGATGTCCCCACCAGCCTGGGATAGTTTAAGTGCGTGTTTCCTACGGCACGGACCTTCGTAGCCACACAAACACAGAGACACAGCCAGTACACCCAAGGGAGTGACCAGGCTATGTCACAAGCAGAGCGAAATCCCTTGCTGTCATGTCCGTTTTCACTGGGGGACTCTACCTGGTACCGAGAAGCGCTGCTCTCCAAGGCATTTTATTTCGGGCAGCAACCTTGACAAAAGCAAGTCTCCCACCCTATCTTCCACGGCATCTCTGGGGGGTTCTAACGATCCGTTTGTAAGTTTGCAATTGACTGCCAACTGTGGCCCCTCGAGACCGTCAGGTATGCTGTCTGTCTGCTCCTCCAATTGGATTCAAGTTCCACAGACGGTCCCCAGAATGCCCTCTGCAACACAGGGATCCAAGCGGGGATCCCATGTCACCTGTCGTGTTTGGTTGCCAGGCTTCCTGAGTCGCTCTCAGTTTGAAATAGCTTCTTGGTTTTTTCATGGCTTCTATAATGGAAATGTTTTTGAAGACCAAGAAGGGTGATTTAAACGTAGCACAAAAACCCTCGGTTTGATGTTCCCTCACGATTAGATTCGGGCCAGGTGTCTTTGCCAGAGCATCACAGGCGTGATGCTGTGGTCCTCTCACTGCATCCTCGCAGGTGGCGCGTGATGGTTACCAACAGGTCCCGTTCCTGATGCTCTCCATTCAGATCACAGGTGCAAGGTGGTGTTTGCCAGGCTCCTTTCCTGCAAGTGGATCCTTTTCCTTTTTGGAATCATGTGTCCTGTAGGGAGGCTCTTTGAAAATATGGAAGCATTCAGTCCCACATCAGGCACTCACCCACTGGTTTTAGCACCTGCGGAAGTTTCTTGGTGGAGTTCATTATTACCAGGAGGCTGTTACAGAAGGGATGCTTCATGAATGAATCTACAGCTAACCACCCAAGAAGGAGCCTGACGTGCCCATATTCCTTCATGTCATGGGGCTACTGGGGAGAGGCACGCATGCCCCTTCCCTCGAAAGCCCATCCCAGGGAGAGACCCTTGATTCACGTCTCTGACTGCTGCTCACCAGGTCATGTGTCAGCAAGCTGGTACCTGTCCAGGCTCCCCTGAGACAGAGCAAAATGAGGGAACTGGGCCACCTTTCCAGGAGTGCAGCGAGGAGTCAGTGTAAGCCAGAGCATGACATGGTTGATTTAAGTCAACCAAACGTCAGAGCAAACACAAACACCCTGGCTGCTGGGTGAGCAGGTCGGACTGGTGCAAGAACTGCAGCCCGGGAGGCTAGTGAGGAGGCCTTGAGGATTGTCCCGCTGCCCTGAGAGCCTTGACAGGGATATGGGTCTCAAGCATTCTAGGAGCCTAAGTGCCAGGGAACGGAAGGGTCTGGCTACTCAGAGGCCTGCTGGGGCTGTGGGCCACAGCAGGTGCTGGGTGCCCCGCTAGCCTGGCTGAATCCTGCCCTGACCACACATGCCTTACCTTTGGCTTCCTGGAGCAGTTCCTCAGTGAACTTGGCCACCTGGACCACCTTGACCCACGCGAAGCCTTTGCCCACTGCAAAGACGATGCTCTCATAGAGGAGGTCCAGCAGGATGCTGCGGCGAGCGTCCCTCACTTCATCGAACGCTTCCCAGTTCAGCAGGGCCCGCAGGTGTCTGAGACCTTCTGGTTTCTGCATGATGAGAGAAGGGAGCGGTGGAGTTGGGGAGTCGGACGCCGTCTTTTGTTATTGGGCAAAACCCTGGGGGGCGGGGGGTTCCATAGCAGCGATGTGAGCAGAAAAATGGGCACACCTGGGCAGATTTATGCTTTGGGGTCTGGACAGGCTGCCTTTCCCTGCCGGGGATACTGTCTCTACATTCTAGCCCTACCTCTGCCCCGGCCAGTTCTCCTGCTAAGCACTGCAGGCCCAGGTTTGTAGACTCGAGAGCAAATGCTCTAAATCAGGGGTGCTCAATAGGTGGATAGCGATCTACTAGTTGATCGCAAATGTAGTGTGGGTAGATCGTATCACTTTCACATAGAATGGGAGATTTTGACACTGCAAGCCGACATTCAGCTGAAGTCCAGAGCACATGTACAGTTCTGGAACTTACTCGCAGAGGGCAAGTACCCACACATGAGAAAATGTGCTACCGCCTTGACTGCATGATTCGGCTCTACTTATTTATGTGAGTCAGCTTTTTCCCATAAATGTCATTAAGTCCAAGTACCGTTCCACCATGACTGATGATCATTTGGAAGTGTGCTTGAGGCTGGCTGTCAGCAGCTACTGTCTGGACTATGCATCCCTGGCTCATTCCATTCAGTGCAAGTCGTCAGAGTAAACTCAGGTAATGACAAAAAATGTACATAGTTAATTGTGTTGTGTATGCAAGGTACATGAACATACATTGTACATATACAGAATTCTCAATGCATTATGAATAAATGTAATAAATAAAAAAATATATGTTTTGCATTTTTGTAGTTGGTAGATCCTTTTGACTTGATCATTTTATAAGTAGCTTGCATGCTGAAAATGTGTGAGCACCCCTGGTGTAAATCAAAGTGCACAGGACTCCTTGGGGGGAGGGTTAGAGAATTGGAGAAAACACCTTCAGAAGTGTATTGACCTGCACACAGAGGCTGTGCAGAGAATAGCAGCTTCACATTCTGATCTTCTTTTTGTGTATTTGCTTAGTAAAGGTTTCTATGTTTTTATAGCAGCACCTTGTGACTTATCTTCGGTACTCTGTGAAATTAAATATATTTTGCTTGGTGAAAATTCAAGTACTCGGGCAGACTCTGAGGAAAAGGCTGATTGGGATACTTTTTATCACATCCTTCCATAGGTTAGACCTATTTTACTTGAGAGTTTGACTGGTCCTTCCAGAAATGTTCTCGTAGGTCATCAACCCCCTAAAAATACTCATTGCCATCGAGTTGATGCCGACTTATAGCGACCCCATAGGACAGGGCAGGACCGTCCCTGTGGGTTTCCGAGACCCTAACTGGTTACAGTAGTAGGAAGGCAGATCTTTCTCCCACTGAGCGGCTCGCATTTCTAACCACTGACCTTGCAGATTGCATCCAAGGGGTAACCACTACATACATGACCAGAGCTCTTCAGGCCATCATCATAGATACAGGAGCATCAGCCGCTACTTGGAGGAGAGGTGATATGTGGAGGGGAGACCCACCACACGCAAGAGTGCAGGGAGAACTCTGGGAGACCACGGCAGACTTGGTGTGGAGGCAAGCCCAGGTCGCCCTCTGTCTCTAGGGCCTCTTTCTCTACCATCACCTCTCTCCTGCTTGTCTCAAGATTAGTGAAAGCACATCTGCGTCCCAGGATGGGGAAGAAAGCCGAAGGTGGGTGATGATGGGTGGGGGCAGTGCAGCATGTGCAGCATGTGAATGTGGGTCAGACGCCAACGTGCACACATATAGTTCATACATGTTCCTCTTATCTGAGGTAATGGCGTGGCAGTATGCGTCTATAAAGATTTACAGCCTCAGGGGCCCTCCTGTGCTGTCTCCGTGCTGCTGGAAGGTCACTGTGAGTCTGAGCTGACTCAGTGGTCATGGAGAAGGGCTTTGGAAAGAGCTTGAGAGAAGTCTAGGGACACCATGCCTCCCCTGTCTCCATGGCTCACTACTTTCAGATGGAGAACTGGTTCTGAGAAACAGATGAAATTTGCGCCCCCCCTCTGTGGCTTTCATGTTGCTATAACACTGGAAATGATACCAGTGGTATTTCAAATACCAGCAGGGTCACCCATGTTGGACAAGTTCCAGGGAAACTTCCAGACTAAGACAAAGAAGAAAAGCATATATCATTCCCACATGAGCCAGTGGCAGTTCGCTCACTCACAGAGGCAGTACAGGAAGACGAGCCGCTGGCATCGGAAGACACCCAGCACACACACTGGCTGCCAGACACAGCGCACAAGAGCAAATCAGGGGTCCAGAGGATGGCTCTGGACCAGGCAACCTTCTTTCTGTTTTGTTTGGAGTTACCATGATTTGACCACAGCTAACTCCTGAGAACAATAATCCTCTCTCAAATCAATAGCACACTCTCTGCCGCCC